TGGTAGAGCGACAGTGAGCGAGCGTGTGTATGTTTCTGGAAGTGAAACGGGGAAGCAGAAAAACAGAGGTCTGTGATGTATTTTGTGAAACAGAAGAACTTCTAAATAAATGCACCGGCCTCCCAAGAAGANGGCTTTCAACTAAATACACAGCCACGCAAAAACTGCGGCATTTGTACAGCTCCTTATGGGTACTGCAATTAGTGAAGTGCTTTCCTCCGTGGTGAAACGATCAGCACTGCACCACGGAGGAAAGCGGCAGAAAGTCACCTGGAGATAAAGAGAGCGGGGCTGCGTTGCGTGCATGGCTTCCTTCTGCAGGTAGGAGACGCGCTCTGGCTGCGGTCTCGTTCAGGATCCGAAAATACAATTTAAATATTTTGCACACTTATTCTACTTATTCCTAGTGTGCCGGCACGCGGCACCGTAACCAGTGGCACAGGGGTTGCCGACCCCTGTACTAGAATGACCTCTTAAGCTAAAGGTTTTGATAACGTTTGGAAAGCCTCTCTCCGTCCTCTTCCCTTTTCACTCCACCCCCACTAGAATAAAGAGCAACACTGAGGAGGCTTGTGTAAGAGACCTATGTCCATCTAGTCTTCCCTCTTCCCACTCAGCAGTCACATGACTCTCACTGAGTGATTTCAGCCACTATATCCCCTCTCAACCTGCACACTCGTCGAGTCACACACACACCAATCCACACTACTCCAATACAAGCTATATCTGGTAATTATTGACTACAGTGGGTTTTTAAATAACTTTAAATGTCCAAGCATGATTATATGTCAACTAACAATGTGCACCCCAGCATAGGGACACCCATGGGTTTTCCTTTATATTTCTCCCATGTAGTTGCACATTTGAGCAAAGGGAAATGTTTCTCTTGGGATCTGGGACAGGTTTTCCTTTTATGAGTGTGTTTGATATTCGGGACATGCTCCGGCCTTAAGAGCTCCATGATTCATTGCAGGAGGCGACACTCGCCTGTAGCAGAGATCCACTGCAGAGACTAATAATAGTAAAGCCTGACTTAGTATCCCATGCGACTCTCTTAATGCTTCCTAACACTCAGAAACTAGTAAAAGTTGTTTTAGAAAAATATAGGCTCTGACATTACAGCACTTGGAAAATAGAATAAAGAGGACAGTGACAGGGCTGGAAGTGTCTCTGCACAGAGGGCCACTTTGTTTTATTGTCAAGTCGTAAAATGGCACTTCTTGAAGTTGGTTAAGGCAAGGCAGCGCAGGGAGAGCAAGAAAGCACAGGCCTGTTGCTTTTATTTTCATTTTGATTCATTATAATGTTTCCCTCAGTTTAATTGAAGTTCAACATCCCTCCCACTGAAAGCTGAACATGTCTTTTGACTTTCGTGCACATATTCTCTCTGTGTCTCTCTTTGCTGTCACTGCTTTGATGTTCTGTGTATGCCTGGTAACCATTGTTTATTATTTAAGCGTTTATCTTCAAAAAATAACATTTCATTTCAATGCATGTCATTCAACATTGATGACCCCTCGATGCCCCTCCTTTAACCCAGATACCTCTCTCTAAAATTCCACTTATAAAAATGTGATCAAATCCTGGATAGAGGATAGTGCTGTCACATGGGGGCACTGTTAAGCTGTAAATTGCATCACAGGGATATGAGGCAGTGACTTCCACACAAAATGGTTGCAGCAAATTCACCAATAAACCTCAGCACAATTATAGATTCCACCATTTTAATCCTTTTTCCTCAACCAAAAATGACATGGCCCAGCAGGCCAGTAACTGTACGATATCCTGTGTTTGTTTGCTTACACATTTGTCATGTTTCCTGCATTGTGATGGTTTGTCATCAAACAGGCGTAAATATGTGTGGGTGGGTGCATGTGCCATATGTGCCACTCCACTCTGACACTACTGTGTGATTATAATAGTAGTTTTGCTCTTGTTTTCAGGCATACGGTATGTCTGTACTGCCTTTGAATCTGATAAAAGGCACACGGAGTGTGGTGTACGAGCGCCTGGAGAACACAGAGGACATTGATGATGTCGAGCATCAGATAGAAAAGCTGAAATCCAAGGTTGGTATCTCAGATGGCACATACTGCAATAGTGACATAAGTCATGCGATCACTTCATTGAACAAAACCTAGAAGTGAAGATTAATAGATCATAAGCAGATTTATTAATAGCAAATATCCCAAAATATTTGAACAATGCTTGCTGATTCTCCTCTGCACTGTGTATGATGAGTGTCTAGTCATGCGTTTATAGAGGTAAACATGCATCATTCCCTCTGCTTCATCCGTCTGCAGTGTCCCTGTCTTGCTTGCACTCACCGATGCTTTGCATTGTGCTTATCAACCCCCCCCCCCC